TTGCTGTGATTTTCCATATTACTTCCATTCTAGTAAGACCTGTACTTTGAGAGCCAGAGAGATCATTCACTGAGGAAACATACCTGTGGCCAAGCCTGATAACCCGGGTTCCCATTCATAGGATATACACACATGGATAAGGAAATCAATGTGAAAAAATAAAGTTTTTTCCCCTTTGACTACCTTTTAGATAAAAATGAGAAGTTTTAAACAACTGTTTTGCCCATTTCTATTTCTGACATATGCTATCAGAAAGGCAATATTGAGCTCATGCACCCGGACAGGTTGGGCAACTGTATACTAAATATTTTTGAGGCTGAAGCCCAAGAGAGGAACCAGCTTATCCAAGGCCACACAGCTGCAGAAATCAAACTCAGAAACAAGACTCCCTGGCACAGCAGACCCCCCTCCCCACCCCAACCCCAGAATGCCACAGTTTCTACATTTGATTGGATTGTGGTCTGGGCTGGAGGTGGGGAGGGGCACAGAGCAGAGTGCTAGGGGCCTGGCTGAGAAGGAAGAAGGGAACAGAGGAGACTTTATGCCCAAGTGCTTCCTCCTTAGCAGACTTCACAAAGGAACGCTGGCCTCTGCCGCCTAGAGGTTTTTCATGTTGCAGCTCCTGTTGAATTGTTTTATGCTGCAGCTGTAAACCTCTGACAGAGAGGGCGCAGGGCCGGGGCTGACCCAGGTTTAACTGTGGCCCAGCCACTGTAAAGCCAGGGTTATGGGGCTCACTTCTGGTGCCAAGGCAGTTTAACAAGTATGAACGCACGTAATTCCTTCCAGCCCTGCCTCGGCATAGGAGAGCTGGTTCTGGGGCGAGGCTCCCTACGCCCCTGACAATGTGGTTCCTATTACCAGCTATCGCGCCTTGCAGAGCACCCCCCCCCACGCCCGGCCAGACTCCTTTCATCGCGATACCCAGCTTCGGGTCCCTCTGAGGGTTCTGCATCCCAGGAGGGAAGGAGATGGGAAGAGTGGGTGTTCTCTACAAAAGGAGCCTGTCTTACCTGTCTTCAGAAACCCTCCCCTGAACTCCAGTCTCTGCAACCCACGCACAACCTCTAGTCTTATTCTGAAAAATCTCAACCCCAGAGGAAATTTGAAATAGTACAAAAACATCCCTAAGTGCTTTACCTAAATCTGTCACGGCTAATACGTTGCCATGCTGCGATATCTATATTTATATGTAGCTTTTATTTTCTCTCTCAAAGCAAGTTGTAGGCTTCAGTACAGTGCACACAGCCTGGAATGAGGATGCCTCATAGCCTCAGTACCACGGCATCACTAAGGAAATGAGCAATGGCCTCGCAGCGCTCTACACGTGTGAACAGTGGCCCCGCAATGCCCTACACGCGTGAACAGCAGCCCCACAACGCCCTACACGTGTGAACCACGACCCTACAATGCCTACACAGGCCATATCTAAAGAATCCCACATCTTTCTTATAGCTTAAAAATCAATTATGATCTGATCAATATCCAAGTAAAATTTGGTTGCATTTTGCTGGTGTCTCTAAATCTAGGGGTGCTTCCCAATGACCCAAACACCTACATTTTTTCTTTTTCATGTCACCTACTTTCCTAAACCAGTGGCTCTCAACCCTCCTAACGATGCGGCCCCTGAACACAGTTCCTCATGTTGTGGTGATCCTCAGCCATAAAACTGTTTTCATTGCTACGTCATAACTGCTATTTTGCTACCATTATAATCATAACGTAAGTATCTGCTATATGGTCGCAGGGGTTGTGGCCTACAGGTTGAAAACCACTATTCTAAACAGTCCGGCCTCCTGCTCTATAGCCGGCCTGGCACCATGGGCAGGCTGGCCATGTCCTCTGGTAGCTTTGGGCTCAGCGCCTTTGGTGAGCCCATGTGTGGTGTTACAGGCTGCTGCTTCGACCTAGCTCTTGTTCTTTCCTTTCTCCTCCTCCTCCTCCTCCTCCTCCTCCTCCTCCTCCTCTTCCTCTTCTTGTCCTGTTCTTGTAGTGTTGGATGGAACCCTGGGCCATGCACACACTAGGCAAGTGCCCTAGCACTGAGTTCCAACCCCAACCCCTGGGCTTCTTCCGGCCTTGCTCCCAGCTGGCTTCACCATGGGGCTCTAGCAGGCACTGCACTGCGTCCGTGTTAGAATTATCTCCCTGCGTGGTTCCTTCCTTTGTAATTAGGAAGCAATCTGTGACACAGGACCAGCTCTGTGAGTGGGTCATCCAGACTGCCCCCTGCTCTCCTCCCTTTGCCATCCACTCTTTCGGAGGCTCATGGTCTCCAGCAGCCAGCCAGATGCCAAGGTCACTGGGTGTTTCACATCTGCCTTTCTCCCCTTCTTTAATTTCTCTATAGTTGGACATAAAAACCTAAAGATTTAACATATTAGAGGAGCAATGTGCATGCGTTTCTTGATCCCTTAGCAGGGTTGGACATTGCTGCTTAGGCTCCTCCTAGAGAGTAGGGTCTAGCTCCATATCCGGCAGTCTGTAAATACACCAGACGTCTTCGTGGAATGAGTAGCAGCTGAGCGGGTGAGCGGGTGAGTGGGGGGAGCGGGGGAGCCAGGGAGCCGGGGAGCCAGGGAGCCAGGGAGCCAGTGACTAAATACACACATCAGGGCAAAGTCCGGACTGAGGAGTCTAGGCTTGGAATCCCAGTTCCCAGTCTTCATACACAGGGCAAGTTTAGTCAATAGTTTGCCTGCTTTGGAAAAAAAAAGCCTAATATTCAAAATACTCACTCAAAAGGATCTTTATCCAGAAGCTAATATTGGGGACTTTGGAAGGGCTGCTGGAACTAAAGCAGCTTGTCAGACCAGTGAGGCCAGTGGCATATTTCACTGGCTCAGGGAAGGAGGGACCGGGTGAGTTCTGGAGGGCCATGGCTGCCAGGAGAGAAGGCGGCCCTGGAAGCTGCTGCAGAAGGAGCAGCTGGAATCGAGTCTGGGCCCGCTAGGTGTGCACCTAGCAGGATGGGTGCAGATACATCATGATCCTCTCTGTGTCCATCCCTTCTCAACCTTTGTCACCATGGGTCCTCTTTGATGTGGCCTGTGCATTATCCCAGGGCTTCTCCTGCTGGGCTGAGAGCAACTTCTGGCTGGTGAGCGGGGCTTCTGGGAAGCAGGGGGTGGGGGGTTGGGGGGGGTCAGAGGCCAGGCCGCTGAGTGATTTGATGACCTGAGAAGCCAGCCCATTGTCCAGGCCTTAAGGGGCCACTGCCCCCTTGCCATTAACCCACCTCAGGATAAAGGCCATCACCAGCTCGGACAAATAGGCAGCTCGGCCGGACCTCATGCATCATCTTGTCACCCACGCAGGGGCCCAACGGGGGGGGGGGCGGGTGTCTTAGAGCTGAGGGCACTGGAGTGCAACTCAGCAACTTCCATTCAGTGGGCTTCTGATCAGGGCCCCGGGGTTTGGAGCCAAAATGCACACTCGGTTTTGCCCTCCCCTCCAGGTGTGGGGGCTAGAAAGGAAATCTCTGATCTGCTTTGGAGGTTCCCCTAGACCCTGTGGCTTCCTGGGGGGCTGTCAAGAAAGGAGGACAAAGGCTGTTAGATGACCAAAGAAGGAACCCAGTGGGGCAAGAAGAGCTGGGTTGAAAGGCCAGGCGCTCTGGGGACGCAGTGTGCCACCAGCTATCTGAGCCATCCTGGGAAGACTGCCGGACTTCCCAAGGCTTAGCTAGCCCGCTCCACTGGTAATGGAACGATGACTACAACAGGGAATTTCCAGTCTTGACACCGGCCAGGCACTGTGCTACCATTTCACACTACATTCTACGACCAGGGACAGGAGGAAACTCGGAGGCTCCATCGTCTGCTAATCCCAGCTTCTATAATGATGAAGCCATAGGGTAACTCTGCCGCTCTAGAGCCTTCTGACCTCCTGGAGGAATCAATGCGGACAGAAATGCCAGAGCAGCCAGCACAGCACCTATGCCCCGAGGCGCTTGGTGATGGGACCCACTTTTCTGCTACACGATCTGCGTGTGACTTCAAGCCCAGCTGGGTCCAGAGTAGCACCCCGCCTTCAGCTGGTACTGCTTTCCTCCTCCCCCGCATCAAGCCCTGGAAGATGGAGTTTGCCCTCCGCAGCATACACAGGGAAGAGACTCTTGTGTGGCTGAGGTCCCAGCGTGAAGTCAGGCACCTCTGGCTACAGTTAGGCATCTGACATGCGATACACCATGTCAGTGTCAGGCCAGCCACCAGTGAGAGTGTAGACGATACAGGGGTCCTCCCAGGCTACACACCCCAGCCTTGAGGATCCGTTTGTCCTCACTGCCTGCTTTAGGGCTGAGCTGTTGAAGTCTGAGTCCGCCTTCCTGAGGCCAGGGGTGGAGAGGGGAAGTCGACTGAGGGGCTCTTTTCCTAGTGCATAGTCAGTCCTTGATCATAACTTGCTCACGTGAACTGCTTTTGAAGGGTAAACAAGGCTCTTTCTTTCCACATTAGCTAACCGAGACCCTCCCTTGATCTCACATTAACATGGAGTGTAGGAAAGATTTGCTCTCAGCATTGCTACACATCAGGGCGGGCGTAGCTGGGCCTAGGGGATGATATCTTAAGAAACAGGTAAACGCTGGGTAGAGGGCCTGGGCTTTCACATGGGGAGTGAGGCCTTGGAAGGATCGCTGTGGTTTAAAAGGGAGGAATGTAAGGGGGGCAGCAAACCAGAGGGGATGTCCTGCAATGGCTCAGGGCAAGGACACACTAAGAAGCTCTATGACTGAGGAGAGCTGAGTTTGTAAAGTCAACAGACAGCTCCCACTTCTTTTCTGGATGACAGCAGACAGGGGATCAAACTTCAGTATACCCACAATAAACTTTGGACCCTGAAAAATGCCCCCTATTTGTTTCTAATAAATAAGAGGGGAGAGGAGTGGCAAGGGGCACACTGAACTATGGGCTGCTTGGCCTCTGAGCCGGTCACAGGCTGCCGTCCTCAGTCCCCTCCCACAGATGGCCTTGCTGCCATCAGATGTGTATCCTGGAGCATGTCCTCTGGGACACTGACAGAGACGCTTCTGGAAGTATAAATACACGTACTATTATCATGAGCTGTTGCCGCAGCTCTCCAGAGCTAATTTATAGAAATGTGATCTACCAGCAGAGAGGGAAGGGGGCATAAATGAATTACCAGCCAGTTTCCTCTCCTTTCAACTCCGTGGGGGAAGGCCGCCGGCCAGAAGGAAAAAGCATCATAGTGCCAGACCGGTGGGGACCAGGAACAGTGCCGAGACTCTGGTCAGGAATGCAGCGAGGTAATGTTTCTAAGATCCCCATGCTATGTTTGCTTAGCTGCTGCCTTGGGCTCCCTTCTTCCCTCCCAATCTCTGAAAGTCACCCAGGGCGGTGTGTGTGTGTGTGTGTGTGTGTGTGTGTGTGTGTGAGAGAGAGAGAGAGAGAGAGAGAGAGAGAGAGAGAGAGAGAGAGAGAGAGAGAGAGANAGAGAGAGAGAGAGAGAGAGAGAGAGAGAGAGAGAGAGAGAGAGAGAGAGAGAGAGAGAGATAGATAGATATGGGGGGCAGCTGAGGACTCCTAGGCAGAGTTACTAATTGCTGTGACTGTCCTAAGTCTGGAGGGGAAGGAATGAAGGACCCTGCCTTCTTTCCATGATATCTGGACACTTTGGGGGCACAGAAGGACAAGAAGGAAGCCAGCATTCACCGGGTTCTCTCATTTGCACAGCAATCTGGCGAAGGGATAGAAAGGAAATGAAACTTCTGACAGAAGAGTGTCAAGCTGGGAGCTTGAGCCCCAGCCCCTTGAATCTATCCCAGCCCCCTGACCCTGAGAGTTAGTACTCTGGACTCCAAATCCCAGCAGGCCATGTCCTGACCCCTCCCTAGGCCAAGAAGAGGCTGAATAGATTCCACAGGGCCACACATCCCAGCAGGGGGATATGTGCCCCCATCATCTTTCCCTACCCTGGTTCCACATCATGCCATTTCTGCTTCTTCTAACCTTGTAAAGCAAAGTTGTTGTTTTTCTTCTTTAAGTTGTCGAATCTCAAACACCTACATAAATAACGGCAGTCCAGAGGAAGCCGCATGGTTTCCTGGTCCACACTGAGAGCCATTAGCCGATAATGGGGGATCCAGCTGAGCTCCAAGCACCCAGCTTGGCCCTGATGACAGGGTAGAGGACCAGAGAAGTGGGGGAGGGTGGGAACAGATGGTCTGCAAAGACCACGCTTAGGGATGGGAAGGAAGGCTGGGTGCTGGGAGCAGCCGGAGACATTTAATCTCAAGGTGGGAAGGCTCTGAGGGGTGGCAGAGCTGCGTCCCCTGCGGATGACCTCGGTGTCTGGTGAGAACAATCATTAAGTAGTTCTCCCATGGGGAGCGCTTCCTCTTTCATCCCTTGGCGTGAAGTGATGGAGGACATCTCGCTAGGCACCCAGATACACCTGCCAATGTCCCTGTTTAACAACGAGAGCAAGGCTTTGCTCCACAGCCTAGAGCAGGCACACTCTTACCAGAACATGACAACCCGCTTTCATTGTGTCTATTTTTACGGTTAGCTTCTATTTATGGCCAACCACACACTTGTCATATGGCGGCAGTGGCACACAATTTCCCTCTTAAAACAAAGAAATTCAGTTACATCAGATAGTTTAGGGAAAGATGTGGCTGAAAAGAACATCAATATCAGTGGAGGTGGGCACAATGCTGGGGCCACACCGGGATGCGGACACAGAAGCAAACAAGGTCTGGAAAACTTTGAGTCCGGTTCTTTCACTGTCCAGACTCCTACAGGGTGGCCTAGAAGGTCAGCGACAGGCTGAGGGTTAGAGCCATTCAGGTGGTCTGGTCTGTAGCCCCCACACCAGTGGAATTCACGCTGGCTTCGGGTCTTGGCAGAGGTTTGTAACCAGACAGCAAGCTTTGCTGATGGCAATGGTTTCACAAGCTGGACCTTCTGTTGTACAGCCAACCCTACATGGACGTACAAATGCCCTTCTGCACACCTCACCTCCAGCACACAAGCTCCAAGCTCAGTCACCCTGGAGGCTCTGTGGATCTAAGAGTGAGCGTCTGGATGGGAGCTTTGGGAAAGGGAAATTTGCCCATGCTAATGTCCTGATTCTCCTTGGTCTCTTTCCAGGCTCTTCTTCGAACAGCCTGGGCACGCAGGTGTCAGAGATACGTGCGGATTTGGCCTGCTATAAATGAGGACCCTACAGGGCCCGCTGCTAACATTGCAATAGGAACACGAAGCAGGCTGTTTGCAGATGGAAAACGTCAGGACGCACGGCTGACACGCCTCCTCACGGGGTGGCGTTGGAGTCCTGAGATCCAATCACGCCCCACACTAAACGTGCTATTTCTGTACTTTTTAATACAACGGTATTTGGGGAAAGGAGGGAAAATAAACGGGGCGCGGTTGCAGTCTAGTCACGTGAGTGACTAATTAGAGGACCCCTGTTCTCCCAGGACATTGGGCTACATTAATTCAAAGTGTGACTTGTTTGTTTTGTAGGGTCAAGGAGACGCTTTACCTCCTAGAAAGCCAAAGTGGCAATTAGATTAGTCACCAGAGTTTGCCCGAGGTAACGCATGAAAAAGGGCTTTGTAAATTACATAAAATAGAAGTGTCCCCGTTGAGGCTGTCCCCGCTGCCCCCAATTAGGGGGCATAATAGTTTGTTCCTGGTGGGAGGCAGAGATGAGCCCTGATCTAGTTAAGGGAGCACCTGGCCGAGCACAAAGAACACAGGAGAAGGGACCGTAACTGCGAATCCCGACTGCACCAAAGCGGATCTCTTATCTCTGCGAATCTGCAAGGCTGGGCCCGTGTGGCTCAGTGCGCATGCGCCCGTGTCATATGTGGGACTAGCTGGAAGGAAGACAAGGGATTGTCCAGCAAGGTTGTGAATTTTCAAGTTGGAATTTTCAAGTTGGAAGCTAGGCCTTCACAAACTCGGAACAGAGCCAGGAAATGAGACCCTGGCGGACAGGAGTGGTATCTGTTCTCAAAACAGGGAGACATCCAACCTTCGTTGTTTCAGGAGAGAGAGAGAGAGAGAGAGAGAGAGAGAGAGAGAGAGAGAGAGAGAGAGAGAGAGAGAGAGAGAGCGCTCAGCCAGTAAAATGCTTGTCTCACAAGCGGGAGGACCCAAGTCTGATGCTAGCACCCACATAAATATCTGGGCATTGCGGTGAACAGGGAGGTAGAGACAGGAAGACCCCTGGTGCCCACTGACTAGCCAGACACACATAATAGGTGAGCTCCAAGCCAAAAGAAGAAGGCCACATTGGTAAGGATGACACCCAAGTCTGTCTTTGACCTATGTGTGTGTGTGCGTGCACACATACACACACACACACACACACACACACACACACACACACACATGCCGTGCCCATACACTTTGAAGCTGGGCATGAAGATGGTCATGGGTAGTCATGCCTGTAATCCTAATGCGTGGGAGGTTGGCATTGGTGGGGGGGAGTCACAAGTTCAAAATCAGCCTGGACTACATAGCAAGGCCATGTCTCAAAGCACCAAACCAAACGAAACCATACCAGCCAAGCAACTGACCAATCAACCTTGTTTGGTTGCAAAATCTGCCTTGAATAGACACGAGGCCTGGAGTCTTCCTCCTTCCTTCCTCCTCCGTCCTCCCTCCTTCTTCCCTACTTCTTTCCTTCTCCCTCCCTCCCTCCCTCCCTCCCTCCCTCCCTCCCTCCCTCCACACTGATATAAACTATTTGTATGTTTTACCGCAGAGATTGGGATGTGCTTGGTGATGGGACAAGAACACGGCGTGTACTCTATTTACTCTGGAATCGGCGAGACTTGCGGTTCCGGGGATTCATTTATTTCCTAAGATCTCTGCTTACAACACTCTTCACCTCCCTCTCTCGGGAGAACATCCACCGACAAGGAAGGATTCCACTTGTCTTTCTAGCAGGAGAAAGGAGACTGAACAGACTTCCTCACACACCTTGTGTCACGCGGATGTATTTACCAACAAGCTTCTTTTGACGTAAGAAGAGTTGAGGGGAACAGTGGACAGAATTGAGGGAGTGCTTGACACCCCTCAAATCCCAGCAGCCTTTCGCCCAGGGAATGTGTCAAGCAAGCAGACCCAAGTCCTGTGACCACCATGAGTGCCATGAAATTCACAGCGAAAGAAGAAAAACAATCTGGCCGGGCAAGTCTCTCTATCCTTAGAAACAGGCATTGCTTCGCCTTCTGATTTCACAAGTTGACTTGAAAGGACCCAGTAGGCTCCCCTGGGAATGCTGCATAGGTTCTAAATGAAGTTGAACTTTTTTTTTTTTAAAGAAAACACTTTTTGGAAGGAGTTTGCATGCATAGCCATGTTTCCCATTTAGAAAGAAAAATAAACAGTCCTCTGCTGGATTGGAAGTCAAAACAAAAACAATCCCAGCTGCCTAAGACCCAAGCAAGGCAGTGAAAACGCTAAACAATCTTGCTGCTGGCCAGGGAAGCATTTTCTAGGGCCAGGTAGGAAGGGTCTGGGGCCAGAGGGAGCCAAGGACACATGTAGGGTTTTGCTTTGGGAGATTTTTGCAATAATTTTGTAATTTCGCAACCAAATTTTGCATTGAAAAAAACCTGGTCTGATTCATCTATGGAACCCTTGAGATCCTCATAGAAAGGCCACAAAGATTCGGTGCCATGGTCTCAGAGAGGCCTGGGGTTCAAACCTGATCCTATTGCTTAGAGGCTCAGCGAGGGAGAGGAAAAGGCTCACCTCTTGGGGCCCCTGTTATTTCTATGAGACCTAAATGGGTCACAGAGTAGATAAGAGGACTAGTCAATGCCTCCCTAAGATAAAGAGGGCTCCCCAGTGCTGGGCACTTCATAAATGTTTGTGAGGTGACAAACAGAAATCAAACAACCTGGAATTCTTTCAAAAGAAAAAAAATCCAATTCAGCGCTGGTGGAATTCCTTCTCTTCGGCTGGTCTTACTATGGATACAGAAAGACCTGGATCTGGCATTAGAAATAAGACAAAAGAAAGAGAGCCCTGGAGGCAGGAAGCTTTGGTTTGGACTCTTTGTCTTCCACAGTGGCCATGATTAAGTCACTGCCCTCATCTCTGGGCCTCAGTTTACCCTCAAAAGTGAAATGCAAATAAATCCAAGACCAAAGATGATAATGCATGCTAAGAAAATGCATGCATACAGAAGGTATGTTAGATGCATGTTCTTTCGCCCCTCCCAACACCCCCAGGCTTTGAGAAGCTCTTCACAGCCTTCTCAAGGCTCTTTATTTCCTGACCCTTTAAGCCCTACCTCTAAGTTTCCAAAGCCCCCTGGCTTCAGAATGCAGTTGAACACAACTGATGAAACACTGTTGATTCTGGACGTTTCTATGGGGTTAGGACAAGCATCCCCTTAATCCTAACCACTTCCTGAGCGCCTGGACTGTGACGGGTTGATATTTCGGGGAAATCTTTCCCTATTCACACCAGAGACTTCTGGACGAGTGCCCTGGGGAGGATTAGGGCTGTGATGACAGAAAGAGCGATTTACCCTCTCTCTTCCCTGCCACCGGGACAATGGGCTGCGGGGAGATGCCCCTTGCTTCTCTCTGCACTTTACATGGGGATTTCGGCAGGGCAGCTCTGAGGCCACACAGACCCAGGTCCCAGCACCTGCTGGAGCAGACACAGCAGCTGGGAAAGACTTCAGGGGAATAGCTAGAAGGCAGCCTGGGCCCTGAGGGGGCTGGTTCCAAGGGGACAGCTCCTTCCTGACACTTGTGGAAAGCAAAGGAAAGTGAGAAACCTCTGCACCGACACCCTCCAGAGCCAGAGAAGTAGCCTGGGTCAAGTACAGCCAGAGAGGAGTCTCAGGCGAGCCACCCTTCAGGGGTTTAGCATTTTACCTGCATGGGATGGCCTCAAGCCTCAACTCAGCGGCAGAGGGTGTGGTATGGAGGTAGGGATGCCCAGGGCCTCTCCGGTTGGCAAAGGGCTCCACCTCTGACTTACATCCCTACTGCCCAGCTTTGTAGTTTTTAAAACTAGCAGAACCTCAGCAGGTGTCCTTACCTCATGGATGGAGTAACTGACTGAGGGGACAGGAGCTTGCCGAAGACGGCACATTGAGGATCTGGCTCCGCAGCTTGCTCACTGGGTCATTTACTCACTTAGAAGGTAACACTGAATAAAGAGCATTTGTTTTTAAGGCCGGGGACCAAATCGCTAACAGTGGTCATTTCTGGAACACAGACTGCTCAAGGAAGTGACCTTTCACTTTTCTGCATCATCCGAGGTATAAACAGACTTCCTTACTTTACAATTAGCCAAAGCAATAAACACAATTTCATGAAGATATATTCGCCTCCCCCTGAAACAAATCAGATAAAACCTTGCAAACATTTACTGGACCCACAATGTAGAGACCAGCTTACTGTCACTTGCACGGGGACAGGACCTTCCCATGTGGGACTTTGCGGCCAGAAAGACAGGAGGTAAGGCACAGCAGCGGGCTCTCATGGCACCTACCCCAGAACAGCAGCCAAGGAGGACCCAGACTCTCCCTTCCCACCACGGACACATTTACTAATGAGGTTTAGAAGACCCTAGGGAAGGAGTTCATAGCACGTCAAGGCCCCTGGGAAGCAGACGCTCAGAAGAGCTGAGCAGAGCAAACAGCTGCCACCAAAGGCCTCCTGTGGTCTCTGCACATCAACAAAGCAAGAGTGAGCACCTCAGCCTGCCTCAGAGCTTATGACAAAGCCACGGCTCCGGGTCAGTTATTAGCAAAGGGAGAGATTAAGGACTTTCATCTCTCGTCTTTTCTTTTTTCCTGCAAGGTTTATTTACTTAGAAGTGAATGGAGAACGTTATCAATTATCCATCAATCTATCTATACTTGTTCTCTATTTCTATATCAATATTTATATATTTATAGGTAGGTACAGATATTTACAGACATATTTTTTTTCCTCATTAAGCTCATGATGGTAACTGGCAGAGGCATGATCAGCACATGACATTAATAAAACCAGATTTTTTAGAAACGGCTCTATCACCGACAAGACGGCCCGAGGCAAGAACACTGAATAGCCAGTGAACCACAGAGCCGGACACCTGACAGAGGAGGACTTTCCCCTAGTCCAGAATCCCTGCTTCTTTCCTCTCTAAGGATGTTCTGTCTCAGAGGAAGCCCCAAAGATATGGGGCCCTGGACTGGATGGGTTTGGTCAGAGGCTCCAGTGATCTGGGAAGCCTTCCGTATTCTTCTACGTCAGTGTCTGCTTTGTGCCCAGTTCCTGAGTGTAAAGGAGAGGGAGCTGGCTCCCCAACTCCTACCCAGAATTCTCTGTCCATGCATGTCCAGAATAGTCCTGGTATCAAAGACTGACCCACCAGACCCATTCCTCCCCACCCAGCCAGCATCTCCTAGAGGAGACATTTTCCAGTTCTCAGCCACGCTGTCAGCCAGCATGCTTGCTAGGCTCTGTCCTTCCTTATCACCTGCAGCTGTCTCCCTCTGCTCCTGAGAGAAGCCAGGGCCTTGGGTGTTTCTCCCAGCATGCGGAGTGCTCCAGGATATGTGGAGAGCCTTCTCAGAGAGGCTCTGAATGACCTCTACAGGGGAGCGGCAGGTGACGAGGCAGGCACCACTACGATGCTGTTCATCGTGACCTGGATACCAGGCCGCCTGCTTTTACATCTGAACAAACTTGGGGAGTCAATGAGACTTGTCCAAAGCCCCCAGGCATGGAGCTTTGATAGGGTGCAGAGCTGTATGGTACCAGGGTCCAACAAGCCTGCTTCACGCTTCTCTCGATCTTGGGCACCTTTTCCTGAATACAGCCTAGAGTGCAGCTCCACAAGGCACTTCTAAGATTTGTTTTATATTAAATTATGTCTATATGTGTTCATCTGTACACGCTATGAGCACATGTGTACACATGCCTGCAGGGACCAGCAGCATTGAATATCTCTGGAGCTAGAGTTTCAGGAGATTGGGAGGCACCTGATGTGGGTGCTGGGAATGCAACTCAGACCCCTGCATAAGATCAGCTTGCACTCTTAAGCACTGAGCCATCTCCCCAGCCCCATGCAGGCATTTATAAATAAATGTTTACCAAATCAATACAACTTCAGGTGGTCTTCGTTGGAAAAGCCCAATTTTCTTTCTCCTATTAGAATCAGGAAACTCTGGAGCCATTAATGCAACCCCAAGTTCTCTCACACACATTTTCTGTTTCTCCTACTGGCTCAAATCCCCCATAGGAACATCTCTGCAGAGAAGCGCGCTGGCCACGCTGGCGGGACAGGTGGGTATTTTGGGCCAAGTGCAGGATCAAGGTGGGGCTCTTTCACTAAACCCTTTACACCTAAGCTCCGCAAGTCAAGTTTTCTTATTGCTAACGAGGGACACTGTCACACACACACACACACCTCCGTAGCTTTGTGAGTAGGATCTAAGGAAGCAACAGGTGACTGCCTGGAGGGCGCTTACACCCAACAGAGAGCCAATCGGAAAAGCAAGGCCCCCACCCTCCAGTTTGCGTCTTTGTCTCTTCCCGGCGTTTAGTCTCTTGCTGTCTGTGCACCTCTGTCTCAGGCACCTGTCACAGGACAAAGCCTTCTCCGTGGGGCGGACAGGAACTGGCTACCCCAAGTCCACGGAACCGCCCAGGTCCCCGGCTACCCACGAGCCCCCACCATGCACCAGGCCACTCAGCTCTTGCAAAGGTACGAGAGACTGGAGCGGGCATAGCCCACGAAAAGAAATAAACCATTAAAAGTTAGCAAAAAAGAGAGAAGCACTTACCGTTTGCTGCGACCCCCAGGCTGGCGGAGCCACTTTTAACTAAGAATGAGTTAGGGACAAACTCTTCCTCAGAGTCTGAGTCCAGGGTTGGCTGGGCCACACCGTTGCCTA